GGTAAATCACTTAGTGCTATTTGGCAATGACCTTTGGCGAGCGAGATCCAAGTTGCTTGAGGGACTATTACAGGTCGATAGAAAGGGTAAAGGGAGAGGGTTGGGAACGGAAGACAAAGAGTTAAACAAAGGTTGGGATATCTGAGCAGCAGCCCACTTATCACTACCCACCCCGATCGATGCAACGGGCAGCGCGGTCCTGATCATCCTGCGCGACGACCGATGCACTATGGAATTATTTATATTTTTTGCATGCATTGGTGCTTGGTGGACGGGTACTTCTAGGGTGTCCAGCCACTAAGCAGGAGAACGATTAGGGTTATCATCCAAAGCCTTTAGTTCTAACAAGAACCTAACCGCAAGGCAGCGGGTGAGGCAAAGTGGAGGCCCATTTACTTGGATCGATTACTCCTCCACCGTTTTTTATCGACTGAAATGCCAAATTCCAGGCGAACCCCTAACCTGGAGGACAATGAGACTGAACTTCGACTGATCTCTACCCATTGACCTTCCAGGCATGATAAGATCTCCTGGCTTTATTAAGCCATCCTGTGTAGCTCGTTCGGTCATAGAGGTGCACAAGCCATCACACCACGTCAAGGTGCAGTCTCGTCGTGATGGAAGAGGAAAAATGGTGGAAGTTACGCCAGTGCATCGAGGGTTGACCCAGAACGACGACAGGCAAGTTGAATGGAATCGGGTGCGTCTGGCTGAGGGTATCTTGTGCTAGTAAATCGCTTTCCAATCACCGGACAGTTGATTCATTTCCCATGTGCCTTTTTAGTCCACCTAGATCACAGACGAATAACTACTCCTGTCAGGTTTTCGTCCCCAGATTTTGAACTTCCGGTCTTCGCTTTTGACCAAGGACTCGGAAATAGTGGAACTGACAGAATTTTCTTCTCTCAACGTCCAACCTCACAATTTAAAAGCAGAATTCAAATGCTGTTTATAATCTGAAAGGTTACGCACATAGCACCTTTCACGCCGATCCTTTGACCACGAGGCTTACTTATCCCTTTTGCTGCAAGTCATGAAATCGAACTACTAGACTGACGTAAACAGTTGAACAAATGTATCTGCTCCTCATCTTCGACCGCGGACCAATTCTTGCTTTCATTTTAATATTGTATGAAATGGTTCCTTAGATTTTGTATTGGTTTTGTGAAATGGAGTTACAATGAAGCACATAGTGTGCGAGTATTCGGTTGATGAATGTGACAACGAACTGAAGCACATCGAGAAGAGTGAATGGTTCACCGTTTGAATCGCAGCTTGAGTGTGCCATTTTCTGCAGACTTTCGGTCCATAATGGTAGCCTGTGCAGAGTCGTAGTCTACCCACTTATGTTTACTAGCAAAAAGCTTTTGCCACGAGGTCATCCCACAAAGACAGATATACATACATATCGTGGAGGAAACAGGCTGATGCCCGAGGCAAAGGGCTAGTTAGAAAAAAACGCCAAATAAGTGCCCTACTTTCCGACATGTTTGTTTTGCAACAAAACAATCCGATTGTTAGGATGTCCAAAATGGGTTGGAGTGGGGGGTGTTCAAACGCTGACTGCATCATTGGTGATGATCATTTTCGGGATGTGGATTTCTGACCGGAATTTTAGATGGGGTACATGAGGCTTCGACAGGATAAGAGTTCTCGTGAACTGTTCATGTGCGTATAAAAGGAAGTTGTATATTCTAATTGCTATCGCCAAGGTTGTAGATAACAATCGCAGTGTAACATCCTTAAATTGGATATCTGTCATGGAATCGGTTGTGCGGAACGATTCCCGCACATCGAAGGTGCGATTCGTTCCCGCTAAGTGTATAGCAACCGCACTCATGTGCTTTTCTCGGCTCCCTCAGAAGAAAATCGTACAGAATAATGCGTAATCTGGACAATATATCAACTGTCATAGTTCTGTTCTGTACAGGCTAAACGTAGCTTAGTATTGCTCGTTACAAATACTCCAATAAGATCAGCCTACCCTGGTTTGTGATCTGATAGTATTCCAAGCAGGATGGAACTACAGAACTACTCCTTTTTGTTGAAGATATTTCCACCGCAATTTGTTGTCTGACAGAACAGGTGTTTCAAATAATTAGTAGTGTGCACAACCATGTACGAAACCCTTTCGTGTGACAGATTTGGTCACTTTCTCTTGGTTATTTGTTTGTTAGAAGGATTGAGGGAAGACTAGACGGTTAAAAATAGTACCAAAGGCAAAAGATAGAACTCAGGCAGACCAAAATTGTAAGAATATTGGGTAGAAGCGCTGCTTTGTAGGCGGGTGATTTATTTTTCTCTTAGAATATTTTACAATGGGTGGTTTATGAATGACTCGACAAAATTCCCCTGGAAGCACACAACCGCTTTCGTGATTCCTAAATGGACTGGTTCTGAAAGGGCTGGTCAGAGAAACATACCCAGCGTTACAGATGAGACATTTGTGACCAAAACACACTTCCTGGGTACATGTATTCAAATAAGCTGATAAAAGATCACCAGGTACGTATGAATGATGAGTGGCAAGAACCGGGAAGCCGGTTGCGTGCTTCCAGGGAAACTTTGTTAGGGCATTCATGTACCATTTATTGTAAACAACATATATATTACGCTTTGCTGTTCAGTTGACTACATGGAAGACAGAATGTCGGGAAATTCTAGAGAAAGTGGATAATGGATATAAACAAAGCTTTGTACAAAATGAACGGATTCATCTGTATCGTTGGAAAATTTATCGAAACCAGGCGAGAAATGCTATCGAAAATCAACGGGTGCATTATCTGCAAAATAACGAAAACCATTTTCACAGTGCAAAGGGAGGTGAGTGGTGTCTGGAGAAACTGCGGTTCGAAAATTTATTGTATGACCTCCAAAGCGTCCCGTTTAGCCCAGGATATTTGTTTGATCCTTTCTTTAGGCTCTCATGAAAATTTTCGTTTGTCGGGTTTGGAAATTAACCAAAGGGTTTTTTGAAATGCCAGTGAACAGAGGATAATTATAACCCCTGAATACAAATGTGAACAATTGGGTGGAGGAGGACTTTATAGACAGGCAATCACATCGACGAATCGAAAACCCTTCCGACTAGTAGGAACGAAAGCACCCTACAGGATGCAGGCGACAATGCACTAGTGACATCAACCAGAAAAAAACAAAGAAATTTCGAAGTCCCAATATGGTCGCTTTTTACGGAAAGTAACTACTCGTTTGTACGAGCAAGTCAAGGTTTCTGTTCAAACCAACAGTAAGTGTCTGAAATTCATCAGAATCTGACAGTTGAGTTTAGGTGAATAGAGAACAATGCCCGAAAAGAACCATATGTGCGCGACCTAGGTCAACCTACATCTAGGAACGGGATGGCAGTATTTTATTTCGTGTAACCACTCGTTTGTACGAGCAAGTCAAGTGATTTCAGCCATCTCTACCAGGAAAGAAAAAAAACATAGAGAACAAGAAGATAAAAATTTACTGGTTCGAGATAGGGTATTTGAAATGCAACAACATATAGTGATTGTACAAGGATAAATTTAGGAGAGAACGACCATCAGGCGCACTTCCTGTCGACACACCCTTTGCCCAGTTCATTGTATTCGTGACTGGAAACCCACATCTGTTGAAATGTGCCCTACACGATACAAAAAAGCAATGGCGATTATCACACCAAAACAAATCAAAGAAAACTGACCAGAGATCCAAGAATGGAACCACCGATCCAAGAAGAATACCGACGTTCTGCTGCAGTACTGGGAAAGTTCACTTTGAGTCGCATACTCTACAAAGCGAGTGATAACCAAAAAATGGTGATAAACAAACCGGCGGGGTTTTGATGTTCAAATCCCGTTGCAGTCTGTCCGTGAAGCCGGTGATTAGACTTGTGCCACCAACAANCGTCTTACCGGTCGAATATCTATATCACATAAACTGATACTACTAGCCACAATGTGGCTCATAGACAGCATGGAATTTCCTCCAGCTTCCTGTGAATTTGGAAGTACAATGAACGAGATAACGGATAGAAACAAACCAAAAGAATGGACGGATCAAACAAAGCCTCGGGAATTTGGAATCGTTCGTGCCCCAGTTCAAAGTTGAATCCGTTCGGGAACTCGTAGCCCACCATGGGGAAAGTATCAGCTTGACTGTGGATCGCAAAGGGGCCAGAACGAGATAAATGGCAAGGTATGAGGCATACAAAAATCGGTCATCATCTTGAAAGTTGTGGGGAAAACAGAGGATGACGTGGAGAAGAGTGAAACACCAACGAACCTTAAGTGATACCGGACTAAAATGGCTAGGGCTAAAATTGCTGACACCTCGCGGCGCACATTAGGCTTTTACAGTTACTTGCATTTTATAAAACCTTGTAACTAACAAGATGAGAAGCGCACGCTGAGCGAAACCTCGTGCCCCAACTGGCCATTATCCTTGGTTCTTAACATTACTTAAGATCGAGTTTGAATAGGCGGATAATCGAACACAATGGTTTCCTACTGGTGACTAAGAAGAGATGGGAGTAGTTGCGGCTATTGTCTAACACAGATGCACTTTGTATCTGAGATGCTGAACAAACCGCACGGTTTCCGTTCAAACCAACAGTAAGTGTCTGAAATTCATCAGAATCTGACAGTTGAGTTTAGGTGAATAGAGAACAATGCCCGAAAAGAACCATGTGTGCGCGACCTAGGTCAACCTACATCTAGGAACGGGATGGCAGTATTTTATTTCGTGACTGGTACTGAGCTACCATGAGTGTTTCTGGCTAGTCAGGTAGAGTAAGCAACTAAGTTGCCGCAGATCAGGAGCTAACTGCAGTTGACTTTCGCAGTTCAGTTATCTTTCATGGTAGCTCAGGAGCCGGACACAAACTATCGTGAGTTGGAGTTTCTCAAGTTTCGAAAACTCATTGAGTAGAAGGCGACAAACTGGTGGGGGCGTAGGAAAGTTAGTGAAACCCCGGTAATCTGTGAGATTATAATCAATGCATATGAACTCAAATTCGACAATCCAACATCGAAAACAGCCCTCTTTCTTCTCCTCTGAACGTTTTTCTTTTCTTTTTTATAAAGATTACTGTATCATGATTTGCCTGGCACAGTCTGTCCTCAGACACGTGTGAAACATCGACGTCATCGTCTGATTTCTGAAATGCCTGACGTTCAACAGTGCAAATAATAGAGGCAACTCTCCTAAGAAAAATCAACAATATTCTTACTTTCTTTCGTTTACTCGACATAAAAATATAGCCAACTTCCAGTAACGCGATTGGATCTAACTAAAGGCTCTCTGGGGTTAAAAAAAGGTGAGAAATATGTTTGATGGTGGTGATGATGGCTGTGGTGATATTTGAACACAATCTGGTGACCTTTAATGCTTGACCACTTCCCTCCAATCCTCGCAAAGATACGATTCAACCGAGTAGTCATTTCAAATATTTGGTACATTGCTCCTTGTAATGAGCTTTGTCAATTAATTTTTCGTCCTCATCCTCGCTTATTGCTTCCAAATATACGTGTCGAAAATAAATATGAATGCATAAGATGGACGGAGCGCAGAACTGTTTGTAGCAAGGGTAAAGAGAACTACTTCGGTCAACACGTTCAGTGTGGAGTTTAAATGTACATACACGCCTTTACATACAGTTTATCTCGATAAAAACCGCAACGCTTTATTATCCTTCAATGTTTCCAATCAACGAGCTACGACGGTTTCAGACAGCATTCGGGAACACGAGAGACATTTTGTAGATTTTTACTAAATGCACCTTTCGTGAGCTCAAAAGCTACTTCCGCTACCAACAAAGAAATTTGTACGGCATAGTTCAGCTGTAGTTATTGAGGCATTTCCACACAACTGTGTATATATAAATGTATATGTTTTGGTGAAAGATCGGTTATTAGCGGAGAGTGAATGAACATCATGATCGCGGGTACATACTAATCATGGGCGGTCTGCTGAACGTTGGAAGTTACTCGAAAATTTCAAGTAGCGTACATATGTGAGTAACTCTCTCAAAATATACGTTCTTTGACTGAGGTGTTGGCGGTCGGTCCCGCAAAGCCCCACGTTGGCGCACCAACGGATCACATTCTTTACTTTCCAGAATTGTTGAACTTTCCTATTCTTAGTTTACCGCCTATTATCTCGAGTCCAACAGGGTGTTACCCAGGATAACGGAAGAAGCCACAGTCTTGTGCACATGCGAAAGAATTAAGTGCCCGCTTAGGTCATTCGGAACAGTATTCGTGCCCCGGTCACAGCTGAAGGTACCTACTTCAAACGTTCGAACGTTTATGCAAGTTGGGGCTCAGGAAATACTCGCTTGCACGTTGGAAACGCTTGCCATGGACGTTTGCTGCCTTACTGAGACACACCTTCAGGATTCGAGCACCGCATCGCCGTCTCAGGATTTTACCAACTCGTTCACCCTTCATCTCTCCGGAGGTCCGACCGCAGAGCTCGTCAGGCTGGCATGGGGATAGCACTGAGTGCACGTGCAGAAGCAGCGTTGCTCGACTGAATTCCAATCAATAGTCGACTCTGTGCCTAGAAGGATGGGTAAGAGCATCTCGTTACGAGATCAAAAAGGTCTGTCTGTTCGGCATCGCAGCTAATGCACCACAGACTTTAGTCCCGACACAAGAAAGACCAGTTTTACCGAATTAAACGCGGAAGTAGGTAGGTAAGACGCTGACAAAACCTCACTAGGTGGCCAGCATAGCCTCGGTATTAGAACTGACAATGGCGACCGTTTCCTGCAAATCTGCGCTGAGCATCATTTTTCATCGACCATGGTGCCAACGTGCTACCTGGCGACCTCCATTGAAGTGGCAGTGACTGCCACTTCACAAGCACTGATGATGTCACCTCGGCTGGTGATGAAACGTTTTCAAACAAATTGCCAAGCTCGGCGAACAGGCGGAATGGAAAACACAGTTCGCATGACCATCCGTGCCTAACTGAAACGGTTCCTAAAAGAGGACCGAGGGCACAACGCGCTTCTGAGATGGAACTAGCTTCCGGTAATGCTCAAACTTTTTCAACTAATCTGAGCCACCGGTTACAAAAACCATGCGTCAGTGAAACCATATTCGAAACTAATGGCGATGGTGTCCATAGTCTACGACGTCAACTTGGGCGGAGCACATCCATCAACCACGCAGGTGGTCATCGGTACAACCACCACCATCTACCGCTGTATGCAAGGCTCCGTGACCTGTGGACCTTTCATCGCCTACCGAGGAAGAAGTCTCCCGAGAGCTTAGAATTCTGAAATGCCACAAATCGCCCGACCCAGATCAGCTTCCTCCGGCCCTTTTCAAAAGCGGCGGTGTAAGCTTCATCGGAGAACTAACTTCCTTATTTCAAACCACCTGGAATATTAAATCAATTCCCTCCGAATGCAGTTTGGCGGACGTTGCGCCTGTTTCCAAGAAGGCCCCGTGCCATGATTGCGCCAACCACCGAGGGAATAGTCTCGTCTCCGTTGCATCTAATGTATTACCGTTCCTTCCAATCCATCCCTACCAATCCTTCGTTGATCCTTCGCAGACTCAGTTGGATAAGAGAGCGTTAAACCCGTGAATAACAAGCTACATTTCGCTCCGGCCGGAGCTGCGTTGATCACATATTTATGCCACTTGAAATCTTTGAGTACCTTCAACCGCTCGGCAGACCGATCATACGGGCGTTTCGCTCAGTTGACAGAGCAGCTCTCTGGACTTGTCTGTTAGGTAGCAATGTGCCTGAGAAGTATGTAGACCTTCTAAAGGCAGTTTGCCCAAAAACACCAAGTCGCGTCAAGGTATATGATCGCATTTCCCCTTTATTTACCATCACAAACGGGGTCCGAAAAGGGCTTCATCCGTCCTCCTTACTTTCGCAATAGACATAGTCTTAAGTAGTGATCTAGAAAACTGCAGAGCTCCCGGCGTGGAGCTTCGCCTAAGTGATCGATGGCGTGACTTGGAATATACTGACGACATCGTTATACTCTGCGACTGCTCCCAAGATGTTCAAAACGTCCCGTGTTGGTTAGAGTTGTCCGTTTCGCAGTTTCTTATGACTTTTTCTTCAACGAAATGTAAGGTCTTACTACAAGACTGGGAAGAGACTACACCTATCATTACGCTCATGAGTGACCCGATGGAAATCGTCGACCGCTTTACTTATTTCGAGTTGTTTTAGCTCAAGAAGACTGACAGGAGAAATATCAGCGCGTATCCACAAGGCTCGGGTGACTTTCGTTAATCTACATCACTTGTGGCATCGCCGCGATCTGTCTCTCCTTGAAGTGCTGCGTTTACAATGCCACACTACGCACTGCCCTACTCTAGCTGTTGTTCTCCAGTCGTGTTCTCTCCGGTATTATTGTTGGGGCCTAAGGAAGAGACGCTCGCGTCGGCCGTATATCCAACCCGATAATTGAGACCTATGGGAAAGTACTTTCACGAACACGACAGAAAGCCAATCACGTCAAAAAAATTTAATTAAATAAATTAAAAATCACCCACCTACCTTTGATCATATCGGTCATCGGATACTTGAAGAACTGAAGCAACAAAGTCCTGAAGAAGATTCTGAAACAAAACAACAAGGTATAACCAAGTGAGGCTTTAACTTCCGTCCATTAGACATGCAATAAATTGGTACTTCATTCGAAAGACCGCAGAGGTAACAATTTTGAACTATACCATTCAAAGATCGCTACCCAACATGGAATTTCGGTCACAGTGGGCCTCACAGTCCGACACTACGTTATTTTATGTTCCTTTTAACTAACGATATCCTATGTGCAGCCCAAGATGATTTTATGAAAGAATAGCTATTACTTTTGGTACAGTAGCAATCTAGGCTATGGAAAGTATACAGTAATCACCGTTAATTGATTTCACATTTAGAGTTGTTCATGAACAACACTTCCAACACCGATGCCATCATCTAGGAGTTTCCATCACGATGAAACTGCAACTTGATGTGGTGTGATGGCCTGTGCGCCTCTGTGACCCAACGAGCTGCACAGGATGGCTTTGTCAAGACGAAGATATAATCATGCCTGGAAGTTCAATGGGTAGAGGTCAGACAAACTTCAGTCTTCTGATCCTCCAGGTTGGGGGTTCAATT